TTCTGGATTATGTCGCCCAGTTCTTGCAGGCAGAATCTCTTCTAGTAAGACCAGACCCCATGCCAATGCTTCTGGGGAAGAGATGGAAGAGATGCTGACACCCAGATCTTACCCCTAAGGGAGACTGAAATAATCTGAGATGAAGGGATGATTATGGCAGCTGGTTTTTAAGACCCTGGAGATGACACAAGTTGGCACTGTTCTCTAGCCAGGAAGTGGAAGGAGCAGCCGAGGCCCAGGAGTCATGTAGAGCTGAGCAAATCTGGGAAGCCCCCAAATCAGGCCACTATTTTGGGGAAAACAGATTGTAGAGTTAGGAAGCCTAAGTTCATATCCCTCTACCTCCACTTCCCATATATGTGGTATCTGTGTAAATTGCTTTACCTCCTTGATGGATGATATTAATAACCTTGCAGAGCTGCTATAAAAACTAGAGATAATATAGAATTCACTCCAAAAAGGACTTTTATATCTTTTGTTAGGCTTATTAATAGATAGCTTATATTCTATGCTACTATAAATGGTATCTTTTTTCTTTTTGTTAATACAATTAAATTTATGTACAGCAAACTTGCTAAGCTTTTGTTAATTTTAATATTTTATCTCTAATTTTTTATTCTCTATGCAAAGAATCATTATCTGTTAATGATACTTTTGCTTAGTACTTTCCAATCTTAGTGCTTTTTCCCCTCTCTATTTTACTTTCTGTGCTAGCTAGAGCCTTCAGTACAGCATTGAATACAATTATAAAAACAGGCACACTTGTCTTATTCCTAATATTGAAAGGAAAACTTTCAGTGTTTCATTATTTAGTTTATTTGGCTTATGTGCTGCAGGCTTTTTAAAAATTCAATTTAATTTTAAAAAATAAATAAAATTTAATTTAATTAAAGAATGACAAACACCTTTTTATTTCTAGTTTTTTTCATGAATGGATGGCGAGTTCTATCAATTCATTTTTTTCAGTATGTATTGACACATTATTTGTTTTATCTGTTAATGTGGAAAATGACATTGATTTTTCCATTTTTTTTAACCTTGCATTTCTAGGATAAACACAACTAAATATCTATGATGGATTATTTTTTTAACATAGCTGAATTGGCTTTGCTAATTATTGTATCTATGCTCCTGAATGATATTCACCAGCAATTTTTCTTTCTTCCACTGCCCACATCAGATTTGGGGGGTCAAAGTTACACTAGCACCATAAAATGAGTTGGGAAATATTTCCTCTTTTACTCTATTTTGAAATAGTTCGTGTAAAATTGAAAATACTTGTTCCTTGAATGTTTCGTTGGGCTCCATGATATAACCATCAGAAGCCTGGAGTTTTCTCTGTGGGAAGATCTTCAACTACCTGTCAATTTCCTTAGTGGTCAGATAACTTTTCATGTGTTCCTTTTCTTCTTGACTCCATTTCATTAAGTTACATTTTCCTAGGATTTTATCCATTTCATATAAATTTTCAAATTAACTGGCATAAAGTTGTTCATACTATCCTTTTATTATCTCCTTAATTCTGGCAGTTACAGCCCCCTTTATGTTCTTCAAATTGTTTAGTTGGAACAGTTCTTTTTTCTTCATCAATCTTGTCAAAATTTGTCAATTTTATTAGACTTTCCAAACAACTAAGATTTTGTTCGTCCATGTTTATTTTCCATTACATTAATTTTGGCCCAAGTCTTCATCATTTCCTTTCTTCCAGATTCTTTGCATTTATTCTGCTCTTCTTTGCTGATCCTCTTAATACATCACTCATTAGCTTTCAATCTTTGTTTTTGTTTTGATATAATCATTAAAAGCTAAAATTTCTTTCTAACTGCTGCTTATCTCCATCTCATAAGTTGTGACAGCAGTATTTTCACTATCACTCCATTCTAAATGTTTTCTAAATAAATATTTTCTTTGATTGTGATTTAATGTATTTTTTAATTTCTCTCTATATGGGGTTTCATTGATTATCTTTTGGTTATTGATTTCTAACTTAACTTCACTGTGTTCAAAGAACAATACAGAACATTGAAGATTACTGAGATTTTAGTATATGGCCAATTTTTGCAAATGTCCTTTTTATTCTTATACATAATGTATATTAAGCATTGCATGGGCATGTTTTTATACATGCCCATTAGGACATGATTTTTAATCATATTGTTTAAATCTTCATTTTTCTTACTGTATTCCTGTCTGTACCACCACTCAGTTTCTGAAAAGTATATTAAAATCTTCTACAATTGTGAACTTATTTCTTTATTAGGTCTGTCAATGTTTTATTCATTTTGATATATTTCATCAGGTACACACAGATTTTAAATTATTATATTTTCCTGGTGAATTAAATATTCTATTACTAAGAAGAGATTAATTATGCTTTATACTTTAAAGTACATTATGTGTGACATAAAAATAGCTACAGCATCTTTCTTTTGGCTAGACTTTGCCTGATACATTTTTCCATCGTCTTTTGTTTTATTATCCAGTCTAATAACCTTCATATTTTAGGTAAAGCATTTCCTTTACATGTATATTTTTTGTAACTGACATTTTTACTTATATCTACTATCTTAATTGGTGTTTTCTATGCATTCTGCTTTTTCCATATTCCCTTTCCCTCTCATTTCTTATCTTTTAAAAATTGATTATTTTTTCTCAATTCTATTTTCCTTTAGCAGTTTAAGTTGTGTACTGCTTCTATTCCTTTACTGGTCTTCCTAGAAATTACAGCATATATGCCATAAAAATAAATGTCTTTACCTCCCCGCACAACACAATTTTAACTTCATTCATTTCCCTTCCAACTTAAGTTTGGTTGTTTTCTACTATTTTAGCTTTGCTATTTCAGCATTTTGGTTTTAACCTACTTCTCATCCCTATCTCTAAGTTTACCAATATCTTTGCTCACTATTTCTTATGAAATCTCAGATTCTCCATCTAGAATCATTTACATCATTGCCTAAATATATCCTTTAGAAATTATCTTAGTGATAATCTTTTGGAAGTAATATTGATACAGGTTTGCCTGAAAATGTTATTTTGCCTTTGTTTTCATAGGATATTTTTACTGAGTTAAGAATTTCTAATTTTTATTACATTCACACAGTGAAATACTAGTGAGCAATAAAAAGGAACAAACTATTGATTCATGCAAGAACCTGAGTAAATCTATAGAGAATTATTCTTAGTGAAAAAGCCAACTGCAGAATGTTAAATACTGCATGATTCCATTTACATAATACTCTTAAAATGACAAAAGTATAGAAATGGAGAACATACTAGTGATTGCTAGGGCTTAAATAGGAAGTGGAGGGTGGGAGGAAGTGGGTGTGACTATAAAAGGGCAATATGAGGTGTCCTTGCAGAGATAGAACTGTTCTCTACCTTGACTTCAATGTCAACATCATGGTTGTTGCTATTGTACATAGTTGTACAGGTTTATAATATGTCACCATTGAGATAAACAAAGTAAAATGTACAAGGGATCTCTCTGTAGCATTTCTCACAACTGCATGTGAATCTACAATTATGTCAAAATTAAAGTTTAATTTAAAACTGACTTTAAAATATATTACGCATGCATTATGTATGATTCCATTTATAGAAAGTTAAATACAGCTGCACATTAAATTAAATTCTTCATTGGCAATTATTTTCACTGGCTTCTGGCTTCCATTATTGCCATAAGAAATCAGCTATCAACCATCAACCATCTCTTATTAGTGATCCATTTGCTCCTTCTGACTACCTTACAGATACTTTCTTTGTCTTTTGTGTTCTCTGGTTTCAAGCTAACGTGTTTCAGTGAACGTTTCTTTTTAAATATCTGCTTCGGATTCATTGGCTTTATGTATCTGAGTAATTGTCTTTAAACAATTCTGGATATCTCACTCTCTCCTTTGTGTCTCTTACTCTTTTCCATATGTTCCATATATTTGTCTCTAAGTGGGGCAGGCAGCATTTTCCAGTTCACCTTTATACTGAGGGCAAAATGCTCTCGTCCCAGCTTTCTAAAAGAGGCTCCTTTATTAGATTTCACACCTGAGTTTTGTGTCCTGTCTCATAACTCTGTGAAAAAGCTGAAGGTTACTAGCTTCATTAAATATCCTCCAGACAGAATGAAAATCTAGAGGTAGCCTAGCTCTCTGGATTTTTATCTTCACCTGTCTTGATTTTAGCCTGATAATTCCTTACTTCTGCATACCTGGCCCACCATATTATAAGAAACAAAAGGTAAAATTATTCATGTAAATTTTCAGGTACAGATAAGGCATTCGATAAAGATTACCTGTTACTATTGTTCAATGTCATTCTCCTAGCCTAACTAGCCTGTTACCTTCTTTTCCTCATGGAATCATCATGTATTTTAATCAAATTATATATTTTTAAATCAGTTTTTAAACTTATTCTTCATTGGTTTTTCTATTAATAGAATTGCCAAGGCTAAGTTCTGAATTCTAGTAATTTGAACCAGAAAAGCAAAAAGCCATAGTCACTTCAAAACAGCATACCTGTATCCCGTGAACATAAGGGAAGGGAAACAAAAATAATATAAAAACAGGGAGGGGGACAAAATAGAAAAGACTCATAGAGAACTAACTGAGGGTTGCCAGAGGCATTGTGGGAGGGGGGATGGGCTAAATGGGTAAGGGGCATTAAGGAATCTACTCCTGAAATCATTGTTTCACTATATGCTAACTAATTTGTATGTAAATTTTAAAAAATAAAAACATTAAAAAAAAGCCATAGTCATACATGTGTTCCAAGGCTCTCTAATAGGACAGGAAAAAGGAACCAGCTCCACTGACTTTAGATTTGAAAACAATACCTTTTATCATGCAAAATACAGTGAAGAGTTGAAAAAACAAAGACAAAACAAAAAACTAAACACAGATCAAATTACACAGCAAATTTCTTCAGGAAAAGACAATAAAAGACCTATTTTCCAAGTCATAAATTTTATTTGATTAATATAAAATAAAATGAGTTTCATGGCTGTGTACCTGTATCTGATCAAAACTCCAGTGTTGGTGAATGTTGCTGTCTCTGTCTGGAGGAATGGGAAAGAGGTTTGATGCTGGAATTTCAGAAGTTCTAAACCAGACAGGGTCACTGTAAGGATACATGAAAGTCATCATAATTCTAAATCACAAAAGTAAATATGAACATGCCTAAATGCCAATATCTCCTTACTATCATCTCTTGCCAAGTTTCTACTGACAGAACTAATTAAAGGAAAAGTGACATTTTTCCACATTTATCTCATTGGCAAAATATCAACCATATGACTTGCTTTTGAACTGTCAAGAATGGCAACATTTAACACTTCTCAAGGGAATATGTCAAAGAAAGACCCAAACTGCTACTTAATGCTATTGCCCCTTTTCAGGTGTGAAGCTATGATTCCAAGGACAGCAGTATGTTAAGAATGGCACATCTGTAAAAACAGAATCAATCATGATAGAATAGTTATTTTATTTATTTGTTTGGTTTTGACCAGATATGTTATATGGATCAAAGTTACTGAAACCCTAAACTCTTAACAGCTCTGAATTATGAAACAGTAGTTAACTACCCTATGGAAAGATATAAACATTTATGAGCACTTGGATATTTCCTCACAAGTACAAGAATCATAAAGAAAGAGAGCTTGGGGTCATGTAAGGTGCATCCCCATTCTCAACTGAGAAATAGGTGGTAAAAGGAGGGGAAATAAGCCAGTCAGGAGACAGTTTGGAGTTAGTGCAAAGTGTACAGGACCAGTTGTTTGCAAGTTCCCAAAACCAGCCCCAGGAGAGGAACTGATAACTGAACTAGTGGAGATCAAAAGAATGAGGAGGCAGGCTTCAGACACCTGCCTGGCATATGTGTGAACTTTATTCTAGAGTATCAAAATGCAAAGGCAGGACCAGGACACCCTGTACAATCTGGAATAGTTACAGGGGGATAAATATTGGTAACTGGATTGGACACTAATATGAGTCACACTAAGGTAAGAGCACTAATTATGCATAATTATATTAAATTTTGAGCAGATATAATTGCTGAGTTTGCTTTACACCTGAATCATATGCTGATGTTTAGAGAATTTGAATCATGAGCCATAAAGACTCACAGTTAATCTTAGTTCCAGAACCAAAGTAGAAATACTGTATTTTACGAGACAGAAAAAACCCATTGCATTTAAAAGATTTTTCTCAGGGCGCCTGGGTGGCGCAGTCGGTTAGGCGTCCGACTTCAGCCAGGTCACGATCTCGTGGTCCGTGAGTTCGAGCCCTGCGTCGGACCCTGGGCTGATGGCTCAGAGCCTGGAGCCTGTTTCTGATTCTGTGTCTCCCTCTCTCTCTGCCCCTCCCCCGTTCATGCTCTGTCTCTCTCTATCCCAAAAATAAATAAACGTTGAAAAAAAATTTATAAAAAAAAAAGATTTTTCTCATCTTTACCTATAATATAAATTGAAAGCCAAACCAGGAACCAGAAAGTATTCTCTAAAGCATGATTTTCAACATACAATGAAGTCTTTAGCTTTTTACTCTCTAGCATTGTGTACTGTTGAGCCAACAGTATTATAAAACCATTCAGCTTAATAGAACAAATAGGAGCTGATACCTATTGTGTGCCAGGAAGTTTTCACCAAACAGACGAATAAAACATGGAACTTAGTATTGGAGCAAACATTCTTTATCAACAGGCCATAAAGCCTCGAAGAGGAGCCTTGTTTAATTTCTTACTTTTAGTAGTATTGAGTGTGTGTGTCCATGTGGCTCTAGACATTTAGACACCAGGCAGGGGCTCCATAAATGTTGCTGAATGAAAAAGTACCACTTATTTGGCCCATATATTAGTTTTCTATTGCTGCTGTAACAAATAACCACAAATTCACAGGCTTAAAATGATACTCACTATCTTGAAATTCTGTGGGTCAGAGGTGCAGGCATAACATCTCTCAAACTATCTCTACTCAGAGATCATAAAGCAGACATCAAGGTATTAGCTGGGCTGGGACTTTATCTAGAAGTTCTGAGGAAGGTTCCACTTTGAGGTAGAATTCATTTCCTTGTTAATGTAGGACTAAGATTCTCATTTCCTTGACATGTGGTTCATCTTCAACCCGCCAATAGCACCTCAAATCTCTGACTTACTCTTCTGCTACAAGGCAGAAAGATCTCTGCATTTTTAGGGTTTGTGTGATTAGATCAGGCCAGCCCCAGATAATTCCGGATAGTCTGCCTATTTTAAGACTAGCTGATTAGCAACCTTAATTACATTTGCGAAGTCCCTTTTTCTATGTAGCATAACATTCACAGGAGCAGCATCAGAGGGCCAAAATGTTCTGCCTACTGCAAATCATTTGATTCCAAGTGGTATAAATGGCAGTTTAAACCAAAAGGGACTTACTAACTGGGAAGTTAAGGAATGATGCTGCCTTTATCATGGATGAAACCATGCCTGAAGATTTAGATCTTAGACTCCGTCTCTAAGCTTTGTCCCCTTCTAGGTATGGGGAGAATGGCCTCATTTTCTACTACTACAGATTGATTTACTTCAATTCCTATTTTGTATCCTCCCATATTAGTGACCCACAGAAAAGAGGAACTTCTTTATTTTAATGTCCAATCAGAGTTTCATGTTTTGGACTCTGAATTTAAGCAGATGAATGGATAAAGAAGATGTGATATATATATATATATAAATGTATATATAAATATATATATATTTACATATATATATATTTATATATATATGCAATGGAGTATTACTCAGCAATAAAAAATAATGAAATCTTGCCATTTGCAACTACATGGATGGAACTAGAGGGTATTATGCTAAATGAAATTAGACAGAGAAAGACAAATATCATATGATTCACTCATATGAGGAATTTAAGATACAAAACAGATGAATATAAGGGAAGGGAAGGAAAATAATATAAAAACAATAAGGGGGACAAAACATAAGAGACTCTTAAACACAGAGAACAAAATGAGGATTGCTGGAGGGATTGTGGGTGGGGGATGGGCTAAATAAGTAAGGGGCATTAGGGAAGACACTTGTTGGGATGAGCAGTAGGTGTTACACATAGGGGATGAATCACTAGAATCTATTCCTGAAATCATAGCACTATATGCTAACTAAATTGGACGGAAAGAAGGAAAGAAAGAAAGAAAGAAAGAAAGAAAGAAAGAAAGAAAGAAAGAA